TTGTTTCAATAATGAACTGTCCACAAGTTATGTTACGGAGTAAAATCACTGTACCTTCTTTTTTCCACTTAAAAGGATTCTCTCGAATACAAGAGGCGTATGGCATTAGAACAGACTATGCAGTATCAACAACAGTACCAATCACAAACGCATGCGATGTCACATCAAATCGATCCGACCACGGGGCTTCCGTTGTCCGTAGCTATGGGTCAAATGCATCCACCCGCGTATAATATGGCCACTCCTGGTTATACAAGCCTGGCACAAATGCAACCACCTTACCTACCGACCACCACAACCGCAACCACATACGGCCCGAGTGGAGTGGATCCGGTTACGGGCGGTTATGGGCAACCGGGAGTTAGTATATCCGATGGATCAAACTACTACCCCACAGTCCAAGTTCCTCCGATCACTTCGCATTCGCAAGCTCATGGACAAATGTATTATGGACCTCAACAAGTTGGACCATTACCGGGGCAGACACATCCTGGCTACAATACTGCCGGTCCGTATTCGATGCAGAGTAAGTTATCCGGACCAGTCATATCACTCGTCAGTTTTATCGATTACTGCAACGATTAGAGTACCCTTAGCGTCACGAAAGCAATGAACTTATCTGTTAATTTTTTTGCCACAGACTGTCCATTACATTGGTGTATAACAGATTCTGTCTCACAACTCTTCATAACTACTGGGACCTATCGTTTTTGCCGTTCATTCATATCTGAGTTGTGCAAGAAAAATGGGCTTGACCCCGCTCAAACTGAATACATGTTTTGACTGTATGAATCACTCACCAGCGTGCAACGAGCACAAAGTTAGGCTTCACTAATCTGTCCATCCGACAACGGTGAATGAAACTGTATGAAAAAAATCAGATTTGAACCTTTGGCTCTGTGTTGAGGATGCGCGGGTGTTGGTGGTCAAGTGGTTAGGTCACCAACTTGTGACCTGTGAGTCCCGGGTTCGAACAGTTCCACCATCGCCCGTCTTCCCAAATAGTCTTTGTATAGCCGCGGTCCCCCTTCCTGAATGTTGACTGTACATTTGTATGTTCAATAAATAAAAAAGGGAATTGAAAAGATACAGGACACACATGGAACACAACACACTTGCATGTGTGTGTAATATACATATACATAATAAAAATGGGTATAACTGGACACTTAAGAGACCAATTTGGAAAATAGTCACTGAGAACCAAAAACAAGAACAACACTGTATTTTGACTTGTTTCGTTGTACACTTTTTGGTATTTGTGGGTCATTTTTATAAAGCACAGGTCTTTAACTAATCGATCGCATTGCATTCGCTTCACTGACTTCTGTTCTGTACAATACCTCTCCGTGTCTATGCACCAGTCGAACCCAATGCTGAGGCTAACTTCATTCCCACGCTTCCTACAGTCTTGTCCTGCACATGCGAAGAGATCTCAGAAAAGCAAAAGTTGTGCAGGTATGCGCAAAACGCGACCGAACCACCAGAGGCGATAGTTTTCATTTTTATTGTGCTGCATAATTTATACACAAGAAAAACGCCGGGCTGTTTTCATGGACGGTGTTTGATTGTCGTTCAAACATGAATCTAGTTCATCAATCGATAGTTGATCGTGTTTCCGTGACCACTGTTTTCCTAAGTTGGTTTCGCCCGCGTATCTGTTTTCATCACTCATGGGCTGCACATACTAATCAATTCAATCGATAACCATCGTCAATGCGGAATCAGTCGCTCTCCCACTGACATCAATAAGTATTATGAGTCTTATGAGTAAAAGTACTAGGATCTTTAAACACTTGATATTTTTACGCAATAAACTGCCATCCTATCGGTTGTTTCCAATTATGTGGATTGGGGTGGATGGGCGAGAAACCGTTTTGTGTCCCCAATAGTGCATCTTTGCTTGTTTTATTATTCTTCTATCGTCGGTTGTTTCACGCATTGTTCCTTGCTTAAATCCACTCTATGCTATGATCACTTTGTTTCACAGGTCTGGACGCTGCCTTGCCACCATCCGGGAATGCGCAACCGGATCCTCGGGCTTTGTATCCCGGATCACAGTACTTACCAACCACACAGCCACAGCAACCGGCTACTCAGGACCCGAACGTCTATACCGCGCAGCAAGTTTACGCGGAGCTGCCCGAACCACCTAATTCGGAACCCCGAGCCGCATCTCCTTCTCGGTCTAACTACACCCATTCTCAGCCAGCACAACGTGATGCAGTTGAAGGCCAATTAATCTCATTCGATTAGCCAACCTGAGTCCGCAGACACGATTGGGCAATCCTGTTCATCATTCGGCAATCCCGTTCATCCATGTTTTGTGATTCTTCAACACATTCGAATTTACGTGGTCTTACCACGATCCTCATCCTCTTTTGATGGTTCCGTACGGTTGACCATAACTACTGGGATGTTTCATTACGCGCAATCGAACTGATTCGTCTTGCGCTCGGATTGCATAATCTCATTGTTTCTTTCGTTGCTTGGTTTTTTTCATGCTGCGTTAGATTATGCACGCAAAAAGAAGATCAACTGTTGCTCGACATGGTTGATTATAATGCTCTTCTCTCTCTTGCTTTCATTTCTCCGGTTGTTTTTATTCTCCAACTACATCTCAATGGGATAAATGGGAACTGGCAAGAGGGAACACAAATTCAAATTTATGGTTATTGTGATTGTTAATTTGAGTCCTGGGTCTTAGATGAGCGAATAGCATATACCGTATACTACGGGGTACCTAGCCGATCGGCAATCGGGTTGTTTATCGCGCAAGCAGTTTGGCGGTGATAGATTTTCAGCCTTGAATTTCAAAGTCCATAGCTTGGCACGGCTTGTCTCAGGGCCACCAACAACGAAGAAAGGGCATCAGGTATCCAGACAATCGAACTTCTCAATTATTGTCAATGTTCGAATTCCTTTTCCTGCTGCTTCTATCATGGTGTACGAAATAAATTTCAAGTTCACCCTTCGTGTTGTTCTCGCTCGTTCCCCTGTTAAACAAGCTTCGGAGCGGACTGGGTGAACGAAACCGTGTAGTACAATTTTAGGTCTGACCCAGTTGGGTTTTTACAAATCATGTATTCAATTTCCATTCTAAAAGACCAAAAAGGCAGTATTTAGTATTTTTGATCTATATTGAATAGATTATGGGACTGTAATGTGGTTACGGATTCTTCACATCAGACCAAAGAACGGAGACTGTTTCAAAGGAACGACCGATCGGCTAATGCCGTTTCATGAAAACCATCTGAAACGAGATACTCGAACTCATTTTTCGACACTACTGGAAGTGCCTCTTTATCTAGGGGAATTCCAGTTTTAGTCAATTGTTCATACTTNTATACGTTTGCAATCTCAAGTGAATCTAACCGCTCGCATTCGATCGGGAATGCCACCAAGTGATTGATGCTTCAATCGTCATCGATCGGGCCGTGTTTATTAAAATCGCGTCTAGTCTCAAAGAACTGATTTCTCCATAGACAAACAAAAGCATTGTGAAACGATTGTAACTTGGGATGCGGATCGGATGTTGGTGTGTTCTCCGAGCCGGAAGCACCGTTCACCGATGTTTTTCAGCCAGACTCGGCACCGTTGTGGTGGCTTCAGACCAACAGTATGGCATGCCCGAGAGTTGTCACCATGTTTGTTCTGCCTGTTACGCATGGTTGCAGGCATTGGCTGCTTGGAGCATTCGCTCATGCATCCTTCTCCTTTGTAGCATAGATTCCGCCAGGATCGTCGATATCCTGAGACCACTTCTTCAGCTAGATCTTTCAGCTTTGTTTAAGTCACTTCCACCTTCGGTGAAGTAACTTCACTTGAAACGGTGAGTTCAGTACTACACCTTCGCTTGCTAAGCTGTTCGCTTTCAGATACTCGAGCGTACTTAGACTAAACTTCCGTTACCTTTTAGGGAACGACATATTTTCCCTTGACTAATCGGTTGTTCTTCCTGATGTCCACCGGGATATCGAGAAGCACGGGAGATTAGAGACCAGAAAGCTTTTACAACATCAATGCAACTGCAGGGCTTCCTCTTAGTCGCGCTGTTGATGGAGCCCGTAGTCCGGTTCTTGTCTGCGTTACCCATCCCCGATTGTATACGTAATGCTGCTTTGACTTGATGGACGAGTCACCTCGTCGCTTGGCGTAACTTCTCTTCTGCACAGATGTAGATTCAGGTTGATCATATAACAGTTAGCTATAGGTTAATTCTTTTTCTGCTGATTTATAATGGACTACCTTCTCGTGTTAAACTTGGCGACAATTGACGCGCAAAGTCTCGGTTACAATGCAATGAAAACCAAGACTGTCTCGTGATACGGTACTAATAATGCAAATCAAGTAATGGCATGATAAATAATATATAAAACTTGATTCATGAGGTTACTGGGTTAGGACAGTCGTTAGTGCAATTTGAGATATAAGTGCGTCAAATGGAAACATGATAGCCCTCGGCTGTGTTAAAAACTCCTTACGATCAAGGTGCTCCAAAAAAGGACAGCTCACCGCTGTGTCAAAGAGAAAATGTCGTCAAAGTATGCGGAGTCAAACAATAAGTCCAGCCAAGCAGTGACATTGGGCTCCCAAGGGATGAGCCAATCATAAGCGAGTTGGGCGCGACCAACTGGACCTTTCAACAAACAATGACAGGCAAGCGTGCATGCATGTGTATGAACATGAACAGATGACGCCCAAGGAACAGAACAGGGCCCAAGTGCGTGGGTGGTTAAATAATCGATGAATGATAAGCGGTGATCCGGTACAGAACAAGGCCAGCCGGAACATAGGTCAACCTATAGTAAAGGACAATGTCACAAGAGAATTCGTGTGGTTTAAGTCATACAAGTGAGCGGTGTGCGTGTCTGCATGCCCATATACGTGTCATACACTGGTATATATATATTTCACACTTGTCTGAGAACAGATTGTGTGCCAAACAAATCATGGTACAATAATCTTTATAAAAAGAAAAATGTTCCATGATTGGCTTGTGGGCTGAGTACTGCCAGGTTGCCTAGGCCAAGGCAGGTGAATTTTCTTGAGGAATCCACAACCGGAGCCTTCGGCTAGCCAAAGCCTGACCCACCAGGTAGCGGGGCGGTGTGCGAAAACCGCAGTCCATTGGGAGCCGGTGTCCAGTTCATCGGATTATACGCCCTTCGGACGGGGTCAGACGTCCAAGGTGCCCAATACACCTCAATGCCCAATCAAGCCGGTGACCACTGCCACAACCGAAAAGGTGTGGGTGTGGTTCG